AGTCCTGCATGCACTCGCAAAAAACGGTCCCTCTAAGTGTACCTGTGGGCTGAGAAGGGTTTTTTAAAACCTATTTCTCAATTATTGATACCAATTTCGCCATGCATGTTGCACCTTTTTATGCTTGCGACTGTGAACCTTTTTGAACAGTCTACAAACGGGTCAGGTAGCTTGAAATGAAGTGAATTCAATTTGGGAACTTGAACTTTTCTTGCTCTCAAACTTTAAGAGCGATTAATGTAATATTCCCGAGCTAACTACACTGATTTTCTTGCTGCGAGACAGCCCAAAAAGAAGGGAAACTTCTGTGACCAAATCGACGTTTAAGGAAGTGGTGTCCCGTGCCAACGCTACACCTTACGGATTATCTGCCACCGTATGGAGTGAAAACAACAAGGAACTCATCAATACAGCCCATGGTCTCAGAGTTGGCACAGTGTGGTGTAATACATGGCTGGTCGGTTTGGCACATTTTTTTTAAATTTGAATTTCCATACATTCAAGCGCGGTCAAAAGCATCCGCTGAACTCGCCCCTGGCTCATTAGTTTTTTCTTTCTCTTGACTCGGGCGTTCCAAATTCCAGTACGGGTATTCTTTTGATATTTGTGAATTGTCTGAGAATAGGCTCTTCAGAAAGTTACAAAGCAAAATTTTTGGCAAAACTAGCTCATTGCGGAAACAGCATTGGGGCCCTCTGCATTAGGAGTGACTTGTGGGGGTGTAGTGCAGCAGATCACAGTGCGGTGAACGCGTCAAGTGGCGTCGTACACTCGTCATTTCTTGTTGAAGGTAGTGTGTCCAGAACTCTTCTCCATCCACTTTTGTATCCTGTGAAGGAAATTTCTAAAAATGTTCTGTCTTCATCTCCTGTACTTTCTTCACCTCAGAGTCAGAAGTTGCTTGCTTACACGAAGCTCTTAAAACTCCGTCGAAAAAAAGGCAATAGACAAGATGCCACATTTCCGGTTCACGCCTTGAAATAAACGGTATTGGATGTAAATCACCATGACTTATTTGATCTGAAGCTAAGTGCTCAGTGGCAGTCAGGGATGCCCTGCATTCTTGCATTGGGTCTCCTTGATCCGTCCTCACTTTCTCCGCCGACTTGCCATTTGCGAATGTGTTGGTCTCCGGGTACCTGACCGAAGCCCCGTCGCGCGGCAAGAAGGCTAAGTTATCGAACCAGTAGCAGCGCGTGCTGTGTGATGCAGGACGTACAATGGGTACATACTATTTACCTTAACGCGGTTCTACTCATGCGAAAAGGTTGTCGTTGAGCTGGATACTTTACTTGTGGGTTTATATATCTATATATTTCAGACACGCGACCTCAGCATGCCTTTCGGAGGAACGAAGGAATCGGGGATGGGACGCGAAGGAGCTGTTGATTCGCTTCATTTCTTCACAGAACAAAAAACTGTGTGTATAAGGATATAACGTTTGAATGACATTCGGACATAGGGTACCTACAGAGGTGCTCAATATTCTTAGCTATTGATAAGTACTGAGGTGATACGAATAAATGCAACATACTTTCCATACGTTGACAATTCGAGCGTTTTGTATACACTGATCAACTGTGGCTCTACTGAAAGCATACTTTCTTCTAACTTTCTTGATTTTCTAAACGACCCCAGATGAGGTTGTGTAGAAGAATCTATTCTGTGGATGGGGCAGAGTAGCCTACAAGTGTTAGGTCGTGAAGAAAGTTCTTGCGCTTTTCGACCTTGATTTTCAAATGCCTGTATCTCGGCTCATTCGAAACCTTTTTGATTGGAGTAAAGACTGTTAGAATCCACAAACCTCTGCCAATAATAGCTGCGTTGAATCAGCCCGGTAGTGCAGAATACTGGAGCTCTAGAGACGATGAACCCGGCGGAGGTCGTTTCCGCATCATGTTGGTTTTTGAAGCATAACTCTTTGGAGAAGCTATCCAGGTAGTCGAGAAAGTGACAAATTATAGGCAAAAGGTCTACCGAGTAGGATGTTCGCAGGACTAATTCGTAGCCAATCTTGTCCAACTTCTGCAGGGTTGGTTGTGGAATGTGCGTCCGAGCTACCTATCAGGGACGGGAGACGATCAAGTCTCCCGACAATGTCAGGTCGGCGCCGCAGCGCGGCGGCCACGCCCCCTCGCGCGCGGCCGATTGGCTAAGGGCGCGGCGAGTTTAACATACTCCATCCGTCCACGTTTTTTCTCCTTTGGCTTTTCATATCCTATATCCTCTTCGTTTTGCCGTTTAACTTCATGTTTCTTGAAGCGTCACTTCAACGAATGTTCCAGAATAAGGAGTGGCGCTATTGTAAGATATGGAACATCCTCTAGACTAGGCTTAGGAGGGCGAAAACTTCGGGGAGAACGAAAATTGCTCAGGAGTTCAGAAGTTTCTCCTCCCCGCATAAGCTTTAACCGTCATATCATTATCTAAAATAAAAAGCTTCTCTTCTGTCAAAGCCTGTGCATTTCACCCTCTTCCACATATATTCGGTCGGGACATCCAATCGGGAGACCTGATATATACCCGTCAGGGACGAGCCGGTTCCTTTATAATGAGGAATTTCGAGCATATGTGCCAGAGTTCTAGGAGTAGTTTGACACATTATCAGTACTTTTTCCACATTAACAGATCCACCTGGTTACGAAAAGCTAGACCAGCCGCTGACCTTATGAAAGTCACCTCAACCTTCCTTCAGTGAAGTTTCACTTTTGCAAAGTTTGTAGAGCCTGATCGCGGTCGATCACTTCACCAAAGGTTCGTATTCTGTAGCAAAGAATCCGTTCTTTGTCGTGCGTCGCAAATGATCAAAAAGTCAGGTCGTTTTCATGGCATGAAACAAGCTAGAACGCGGCGAACGACCCTTCAAAATGGTGAGCTGTCGCGGCACGCCCTATTTGAATTTTTGGGACTTTCCAGCTCTTCCCGTACAACAAGAAAACACAATGCAAGTGCGATCAGTTTAGGAGGAACCCTCTCAATAGATTTGTGCAAACGTGCTTCAACCAGAACGTTCGACTAATCGTTGGCGTTGTCCAATCTCCGATCACCACCCTCACAATCTTTAGGGCTCTCGCTATTCTTACAAAAGCTTTTTGAACAATTGCTTCAGACCATATTTATTGCGAATCTCAGCCAAGTGCGTCTATAATATCTTGACCTGCTTCCTCTCCATACTGGCCTGCTTTGAGCTAGAAAAAGGAAATCATGCAAATTTGCTCTTGGAGTATGCCGTATTCAAGGCTTCAAAAAATGACAACTAAATAATAAGGAACATAGCTAGCCTAGCTGTTAGATAGAACAAGAAAAGCTCTTCAAAACCACATACAGCTCATTGGCAGCTTGCTTGAATTCGTAACAAAATAAAGCGTTCAAAAACGAAACACCGAAAAGCGCAAGAACTTTCTTCACGACCTAATATTTTCCTCATGTCGCGGCTCGGAAGTGCGCGATAGTGGTGCAACTAAATGATCTAATGCGACTGATGTGAACTTATGGACGATGTACCTCGCGTACGCCCCGTGATACGTAGTGTGGATGACGACGTAGGCTTATTCAAATGCGCGCGAGTTAGTGGAGCCATGGAGCAAGAAAGTCTGGAAAACTCGTCCAGGTGCGCCTCTCCCTCATTTCAAAGGGCAAGGGAGGGTATAATCATTAACGGTTTTCTCTGGTTCCTTCTTCATTTTCAGTCAATTCGGCATCCACCATTTCATTTTTGACCGCTAGTACCTCACCAATTTGATACGGGGGTTGTTGCTATAGCATCAATCGGGAAGGGGCCTCGTTCAAAGCGTTTTCAACAGAGCCTTTTGCTTAGCGTCACTAAAAGGTTACTACACACGTAATAATTTCGCTTGATCCTTCTTAAAGCGCTCTGCGGGTGCGGGACTTTTGGTGCGTCCGGGGTTGCACGCGGCGAATCGCGCGGCGGGCTGCGCGGCGATCCGGACGAGGCAAGTCTTCGCGGGCTCCTGCAGTGGAATTCAACACGTCAGAACGTGTGCAGATCGCGGATAGAATCCACAAGGTTCTGCTTTGAAAGAAACTTCCCACTCGCGGAGATCGGTGAAATGCAGCGGTGTCAGTGAGAAGATTACAGCGAAAGGAGATGAAAGAGAGAAACTTCATAGAAATGTCACAATTCGTTCTCGATGTGTGGCGTCGAGCTCTCCCGAGTAAGTAGAGTTCGGGATCTTGGTGTTGTCTACACCGATAAGCTTGAGTTTGATGAGTTTATACGCGAAACAGTTTCTAATGCAAGCTCTAGGGCTAATTTCATTTTGAGAGCTTTCAAAATGCGCGAACCTAGACTGCTATTTTATTTATTCAATCTCTACGTTCGCCCGATCCTTGAATATTGCTCACCAATCTGGTCGCCGTTCAAAAGATCGTTAATCGAAGAAATTGAAAAAGTTCAAAGAAGTTTCACTTATCGCTGTTTTCATGCGCAAAGGTTTGTCAACATTATCCTATGATGAGCGCCTTAGTATGCTTCATGAAGAGTCTCTTGAATTTCGACGAAAGTTAATTGATTTCGGATTGATGTATAAACTTGCGATGGATAAATTGAATTTGAAATTGACTGACATTTTTGAAATGTCGCCTTCTATAGGGGTATCAAGAGGCCACCCCTATCGTTTACGACCCGACAAGCCCAACACACACGCGTACGGAGAAGCGTTCACTGTCAGAGTGGTTTCACTCTGGAACAAACTTGATTCAGATTTTTTCAGATGGAAACATACTAGGACGTTTCAGGATCACTTATGTAGGTATCTCAAGTGCCGAGTGGCTGCTCCAGATACGAGTTTTGGAAATGTAATCGCGTGACGGCAGGTGCGCCTACCCCGCACATGACTTTGCTGGAATGGGTGCGTGCCAGCCGCCTCCATAGCGCAGAGCGAAGTGCCGCCGCTCATGCGTGCACTCGCAATGAATCACACTGGGGTTCGAAATCCAGTGCCGCCTAAAGTGTTTGCAAGCGGCTCGGCATTCACGTTTACAGCTCCTGAGTTGAACAAATGTGCTTCTGCGTGATTCTGATAGGTTTGTCGCCTAAATGGTTGCGCCAATTTCCGTCGTCTGGCAGTCCAGTTCCTGAGGTAGGGGGAACTGATCGATACTGTAAGTGGTTTCGGTTTATACGATATGCTATCTTGGACAGCACTTAACGTTTCGATATTTCAGCCAACACGATCGATCAATTATTTCCTTCCTTGCTAGCCTCTTAATATCGCCTCCTGTTCATAATTGTCTTGTAATGACCTAACAATAGTCCACTCACTACTTCGCTTTTTTTAACATTTTTTTAATATTCTTATTGACCTTCTTGTAATCGGACTATTTTTTTCATTTGAATAATCAACAACCATTTATTCTTTTTCAGCCCAGTATTCCCCTTCCCTACCTCATTACGGCTCTAGGAGGGGTTGGCGGACCTACTAAGTTGGTATCCGGAGTCGCTTTTCCCTCTTGGCGGCTTGCAATGTTGGCCGGCCATTGCCCTTCTCCTCCTAGGTGGCCCTTTGGATCTCCCGCCTCCCCCCCCCCGTACTCTATTAGCCAATAAGCTGCTTTTCAAAACTTGTCTCATAACACTTGTTACATATCTTTACTCTGAACTCCTGTATAATCCTATGCTATGTATATGTGTATATACATATATTTATATATTTACACGCTATTGTGTTACTGTTCCCCCATTTTAATTTAACGTTATCTCATTTGTGCAATAGTAAATAAATAAATAAATAAATAAAAAAATGGCTGCGGAGGCATTCACGGCCATTTTGGAATA